GTTTAATTTAAAAAGGGCCTAAAATGAATTATTTTGAACTACAGGATTATATATTTTGGATTAATAAACGCTCTTAGTGGATAATCACTATAAATCCACTTCACAGTTTGATAAACCGCTAAGCAACAAACACAAAACACGAAGAAGAAGGCCGTTGAAGAAAATTGGCCGAGAGAAGCAGCCACCACCCCACGTTGCCGGAGATTAACTAGTCGGAGGGAACAAGTTTCGACGGAAGGAGTTTCGAATTGTACGAGCATAGAGGTAAGTAGAGATTTCTCGTCGAATCTCTGATTTTCTGTTCCTCATGTCGCAAATGTCGCTCTTATCGGTGCCTTCTCGAACTTTCGCAGCGGAAATGGAGTCCAACGAGTCTTACACGGCGGATTCCCCGATGGAGCTAAGAAAGAAATTGGAGGATCCTTCAGAATCTGGTACTTCCGATTCGCTCTCGTCTTTGTGTTTAGTCTATAGATTGTTGAGTTTTCGTTGTAATTCGTCGTCATCAAGCTTTTTTGGGGATCGCGGCAGTTTCGTGAATCGGAGGCTACTGTGAAATCTTTCGTGTAGTCTAGTTAGAATCAGAAAGTTTTCCATAGAAAGTTGAGATCAAATTTCATTTCTGGAGGATTGTTGGATTGAAATCCATCTTTGATCTCCGGACAATTTCGACTGTAATCAGCTCAACGATGAAATTAATCCAAGTTTTGTTAGAATGTGATGAATTTAGGAAGGAATCGAGCTATTTTTGTTACTGTCTCAAGGAAACACTCCTGAAGCTGACTGGGGTTGCAATTTCTTAGAGTAGCTAATGTATTTCATCGTTTTTCAGACTCTGCTGAGAAGCCAACGCACATTCGATTCCTTGTATCCAAAGCATTAGCTGGTTCTTTGATGGGAAAAGGTGGCTCGACGATCACTGAGTTTCAGGCAAACTCCGGTGCTCGAATCCTGGTCTCACGTAATGGACAATATTTCCCAGGAACGACTGACAGAATTGTTGTGATATCTGGCACGAGTAAAGAAGTCTACACTGCAGTGGGACTTGTTCTTGGTAAATTGCACAATGAGGTAATTTTTAACTTGCTTCTAGCTTTATTTGTATCTGTGGCTGTTAATTTACCAATTTTGGTTTTTAATTTCTTATAGCTTCAAGCTGAGTATGGTAGTGATGTTGAGCTTAGGAGAACGAGAATTGTTGTTCCACACAGTTCCGCTGGATGCATCATTGGAAAAGGAGGAGCCATCATCAAGTAAGTTTCCTTTTCTATTCTCGTGTAGCAACAGATTTTATGATGAGTCTATTTCAATGACAATTAACATATAGATTGTGTCTAGTTATCTTTGTATCATTGTTTTCATATATCAAAATTTCTCCACTTCTCATCTTTAAGAGAGCAAGTTATTTTCTCATAATAGAAAAAGAGGGATTTTGCAGGTTCAGAGTCAATCGTTATATTTCTATTCAATTTCAGAATGTCTTGGAATATAGACTTCTGTAGTACTGTAATCTCTGACCCTAATCATTTATTTGTTTTGACATAGGTCCATTACTGAATACTCCAAGGTTGGCATTAAGATATCTCCTATGGATAATACCTACTTTGGGTTGAGTGATAGGCTACTGACATTGTCTGGAACCATGGAGGTGCAGATGCGCGCAATAGATTTGATTTTGAATAAGCTTACGGAGGATGATTATTACTCCCAGCAAGTGCGTTCTCCCAATTCATATGCAGGTATACCTTCCTAGTAGTAGCTTACTATTTGAGTTTTCATTGCTTTATGTTTCTTTGATTGTATCTAGAAGGAATGAGTTTTGCATTCAGCTTTTAGGCATGTTGAGATCTGCCATAGAGAGTTAGTAGAAGGTCAACCTATTGCTAAGGTGTATTAAATTTCCAGCCGAGACGTCGGTTACTTGCTTTATTTTCTGAGGAAAAAGAAGATGCGTGCAAATAAGCAAGAAGTGAGATTGTTGGTTGTATGGTGTTGCTGGTTGTCAAAGCTTCATTCTCTTTGTAAAGGTCCTTTAATGCGAGATTTTAGGTCTTTACCACTATGGTTTTCACGGATACAATTCGGTAAACTATTCACGCAGCCCTCTCGGAAGTATACAGAATCACAAGGTTTTCTCTCTTCTCATTAACTTCCATTCCACCATAATTTAATATCTATGATAGTGAGAGTAGAATATGTTTAGCTCAAAGCCTAATTGTTTAAGCGGATAGTTATTTGTTATCCTAATCTAGGAAGGTGAATTCAATTCGGTGACGATCGGCGTGTCGGACGAGTATATAGGTTTTGTACTTGGCCGTAATGGAAGTAACATTAAGCAAATCAATCTGGTTCGTTCCAATATTTCCGATCCCTTTTTACTCCTATTTTCACTCAAATTTCACTCATTATCACAAAGCTCTCACTCAAATCTGTAAATGGCAGTTAACTGGTGCCAGAATAAAGATATCGGTCCGAGGTGATTTTGTTTCTGGAACTACTGATAGGTATAACAAAACATCTCTGCTTGTTAACGAAATAACATGAACAATGTATTTATCTAACTTGTTCATTTTATGTCTTGATTAGGAAAGTTACTATCTCCGGATTGCAAAGTTCGATCGATTCTGCTAAATTGATGATACAATATCAAATTGATTTTGCATCTGGAGAAGGCCAAGGATTAAAATGACATTTGTTTTTCCCCTTTAGTTTTTGATTGCAGAATCGGCTACATCTCTGTGTAAAGCATTTTTTCCCTCCAAACAAAACCTTGATTTGTTCATTTGTTATGGGCAAAACTGTCAATACAAAGTGTTCTACTAAAGTATATACCTCAATCTGAATAGCTTTTTCAACGGTCAATGCAGACGTGAAATTTATTGCCAACAATGAAATGTCTTTTTTTATATTGGTCTTTATTAAACCCAAAACTCTGAAACAAAACAGGGTAGTTCAGAGCAATCAATGAAATGTCAAAGGTGATAGAAGCAAAATTTATACTATGGACACTCAGATTATTACAACTAAATACACAAATCTATCCTATTTATTAGCATTTATATGCCTTTCTTTTTAATCAAGTGTGTAAATTATGAATATCTACAATGCTACTTTAATTTGTTTTCTTAAAATGATGAAATATTTTTGGGACCCTTTAGAACCAATTCCTAAGAAAATGTGTATCTATGGTTTGAAGTTCAAAACACCTATATAGTTTACATGTGTAGTAACTTTCTAGTAAAAGAAGATGAAAATACAATAATAAATTGATATAAGCTAAACATAAAGAAGAAGAAAACACATGTAATATGTCTGAAAATTTGCCTATATATAAATTAAGATCTCATATGAAAGGTTGATTTGTTACTTAATAAATTGGATAAAAATAGTTCAGAAAACCCATCTATATATGGATAATATTTATAAAGATTACAACCATATTTCCCCATTTAACAAATGGTATCCTTTAACATAATGTTTTAATTTAAAATATTTCATTCTTTATTCACCTTCTTCTTTGCCTTCAAAAGGGGCATCATTTAACATAATGACTTAACTTAGCCAAAACATTTTCATAAGATCTCAATAGATATTTGATTCCTATATTTAACTAGGGTCTTTTATTCTACCATCATATATTCCCCATGCATGCACCTACGGATCGTTGCCTGTATATATAATATACCATTGAGTTTGTGTTTTGTCATCAGGATATATAAATGGAGATGACGATGCTTTCGGAGAAGACATAACAACAACAGTCGACACTTCCAGATGACGTCATTATGGAGTGCATAGCACCACGTGTGTCGAGATGCAACCATCCAACTCTCTCCCTCGTCTCTAAGCAATTCCGCTCTCTCGTTGCGTCGCGTGAGCTATACGCGAGACGATCTTTTCTGGGATGCACCGAACAACGTGTCTACGTTCTCATCACGTATGTCGAGGTCGGTTATGCCTTTTGGTATAGTCTTAACCGGCTAACCAACGGAAACATGGTTGAAAACCGGTTGGTTCCTATCTTGTTCACTCCCTTTGTATGACCATATGTGGAGACTGTTTTGCTGTGGGTTCCAAGATCTTTGTCATGGGTGGATACTACGGTTACCATGATGATGGGCCACAACATCACCCACGATGTTTTGCATCGACTGCCAAACTCACACGGCGCGCCGTGGTCCTGACATGCCGTTCGTGGTCGTTGGGTCGACCAACTCTAAGGTCATTGGCAACAAGATATATATAACCGGAACGCCTGTAGTTGTAGGTGACTTTATCAACCGGAGGCCGAGTATTGTCATGGTGTTTGACACAAGAACGGAAACGTGGGAGCCTCGGACGAAATCATACTCGGAGGTGGATCCTAGGTGGTTCATAGGTTTATCACGGGCATGCAAGTTTTTCTTTCTTTTTAATTTCTTCTTTTTTAATCAGTTGATTCCAACTTAATATGAGGGTAGGGACATGGACCCGACCAACTTTAACAATATTATTAACAAATAAAATTACTTTATACTTGCAGGTAAGCCTATCGACTATCCATCTTGGACTATTTATCATCACATACCAAAGGAAGTTAAACTAGGGACGAATGAGAGCATTAATTTTTTGATGCGGAAGAATGAATGTGTTATGGACGATGTATTGTACGAATACGATGGTAAAGAACATGTTTTGAGGACATGTGATCTAAAGCAAAGAATTTGGGGAGTGGTGAAGGGTATGGAAAAACTTACCTTGGGCGGTGGTACGTCTCACATGGTTAGTTGCGGTAAGAAATTGGTATTTTTCTTGGCGAGTAGTAGTGACTTTGATGGGAAAAGAGAAATTTGGTGTGCGGAGGTTACATTGGAAAAACGTCAAGGAGGAGAGATTTGGGGGAATATTGAGTGTTGCCATCTTTTCCTTGACGGGTGTTTTGACATTAGTAAATGTCTAGTTGTTACTATTTGAAGTTCATATTTTTTTTTTTTAAGAAAAAAGAATTGGATTTACCTAGCAACTATATATAATTATATATTACTTGAAAAAACTAGAAAGAATTGGATTCATCTATTACGTACTTCACCCGTGCATATGTATTTTGTTTTGTTCCATAGCTTCTTAATTTGGTCACATATTAAAGTTTGCATTCTTGTGTTATTGATTGTTATGTCTTCCTTCTGCTGTGATTCAAAATGAACCAAAGAGTAGAGCCCAAGAACGTAGAAGGCCAAGAGGAGCCCAAATGAAGAGTAAATTTCACACAAAAATCCACACACAAATCAAATGAAGAGTTAACCGACAATCGCAGAGTTTGTAGCAAAAACCAAGACCATTGCCTAAGTGAGGACACTAAATTGGGTTGTCGTAAGGAAGAATTTATGTAAGAAATTGCAAAACAAGTTAAAAGATTTTTCACTTTACCTTTGAAGCTTTGTCGCAAAGAACCCTATACCACCACACAACCATCCCAATGATTCATACTGTGGTCCAGTCATCCAAAAAATCAATCGCCGTAAAAACAACATCACTAAATCGGCAGTCCGATCTATGCAAGGTTCTTGAAACGCAGTCCCTTTGTCTTAGACCTATTGTGCCTTTAAAGAACCCATGAAGCCTTCCATTTATGCTAACTGAGTATGATGTAGTAGTGAAGCATTCTTTAAGCCAGGCAATGTAGAGGTCTGCTAGAAAAGTCAAGGGGATCCTCGAGACGACAGGATCAGCGTTGTTACCGGCGACGAGGAAAAGTTTCACTTTTTTTCCGATTGAATTTGCAGAAACCGAAATCGAAAAAGGAAAGAGATGTACGGTTTCTTTGTAGGAAATAATTTTCCATTGTTGGAATGAGAGTGGAAGTGGAGAATTTGAGAGCATGTCCATTCATAAGAATCCGTAAGAAGTTGTTACCAATTTTTAAACATTAAACTAAATATTAAAATAATCTAAGATCTCACTTAAATTTTGCAAAAAAATCAACGTCCATTGGTAAAAAAGCTTTGTTATGTGCACTTCTTATTTGTAGTTTTAGCTGCAACAGTTTTATATTATTGCTTAGAGCAAAAAAAAAAAAAAAGCTTTGTTGTCTGCACTTCCTCTTTGTATCGCCTCTCCCACAAGTTTCTTTGAAGATTCCTCTGGATCTTCTCTTTCACCACTGCAATCGCTTCCTGCAATTCCATATAAATCTCAATTATTGAGAATGAAATCAAACTTTTTACAGTTTCTTGTTACCTGCCCACATTGTTGATTAAAGATTTGATATGGACATGAAATTATTACAAAATGTAGCTCATTGAACAGATAAATAACTAATATTAATCTTCTCTAGTTCGGGTCAAGAATCAAAATATTTGGTTGCAAAACTCACAGCCAACTACATATCTCATACCAAAATATACTGAGCTAATCAAAGTAATGTGGAATGGAAGTCCGATTCTGATGAGAAGTTGCAGAAGTAGAGAAGAGATTTTACCTTAGAATCTGTTGATACTATGGTAAGGAAAATCTTCTCAGTGGTATCGACCACTTCACTTCAGAACCAGAAGCATAACAAACGAAACGAAAAGAGAAACACCAAACCTATGATTCTGTTATCTACATAAGACATGAAATAAGCTAAGATCTTAACATGAGCAAACGAAGACTGCACCACAATACTTTAAAGAATATATGGTGATCAAGGATCCAGCTTCCGTTGGTGATAAAGCAATATGATGATCAGTTATTGGATTCAATCCATACTTCTCCTACTAGATTTAATATGCAAATCACAAATCAATTTAATTCCAAAAGGATCAAAGAACCCAACACATCTGAAATCAAAATCTTTGATTACTGAAACTCCAAACCCAGATTTTCTAAACCCAGAAACAACATTCAAAACCCTAATAGAGATCAAATTATACCTTGAAAGATTGAAAGGAAACGGTGTTGGTCTGGGGATCAGCGAGCTTGGAGAAAGATTGTTGAAGCAAAGGAAGAAGAGGAAGATGAAGACAAAGGATTCTACAATCACAAACCACCTGCTCGGATTCTCGGATATGCAGTCGATCAAGAGATCGATCAACAAATTTTATGGTCGGGCTTGTCGAGAAGAGGAGAGAACACGACCAAGAAAGTGAAACATTTTGTTCAAGAGATTTGATCCCTTCATCATCGGTGATATCGGCAACA